TTGACCCACTATTTTATACTTCAAATTAGTGGTAGTGAAATTCAAAGAAACTGTACTGATAAGAATGATAAAAACATATTAAATTAAAAGAACTGTAACAGTGCAGAAACTGCTTTTATTGGATTGTAATTTGCTGCTATACTGCATGCATGAGGCACCTTTCTGCAAATGGTCTGGAAATAAGGATGCTTCTAAGGTGATATTAAACCTCACTGCATATGAAGGTAAAAATACTTCAAGTCCCCAAGTGATGCATTACTACCTTCTGATAAGAGCCAGTATTAATTTATAAGAAGCAACCTGAATTTACAGTCCAGAATAAAGAAAATTATCACCATTCTCCTCTGGATTTCAGTTGTAAGGGAAAGAAAAGCACTAGGCAGCATGAGGTCATGGTCATTATCCATGTCCTGCAGGGACAAACTCAGGTTGTCATCTGCATGTTACAGACAGTAAGGTGAGGCAGATGAAGTGCATGGAGTTCAATGTTAGTAATAAACATTGGGTAAATTGCTTCCCAGGAAACATAATATTTAGAAGTAGTCTTAAGGAGAATAAAATGTTGAGACATCAGTAATAAAAAAAAATTATAATAAAAATCCTTTACAATAATAACACTGGAATAGCAGTAAACAAAAGGTATTTTTCTTAATCTCAAATGCTTAATTCTTATTAGAAAACTGGCACACATTTCTCTTTCTCTTTTAACGTTATGTCTTGCCTGAAGGGGTAATAACAGTCTGTCTCTTTCAGTTTATATATGCACATTGGTTTTCACGAGAACATCTTGTGCAATTGACATAGTGAAGAATAAAGTATGGAAATAAGATGTATTTGGTAGGATCTAGACTTGACTACACCTAAACACTAGGTAGTTTCTTTTTCAAGGTTTTTTTTTTTTTTTTTTGGTGACTCTCTTCTTCAGAAGTTGTCCTAGTGATAAAGCAAAAATTTGTTTGATCATGAAGACGCACATGGATGACTGTTTAAAGAGTTTCCCATTCCCACAGTGTGAGGGGATACCTGACTATAGTGTTAGCCAGCCTTTGATACATTCAGCTGGAAGTGAATCAATTAAAGTTCAATAGGTTTGCTAAACTTAACTCATCTTTCTAGAGAGGGTTTTAAAAGACTTGCTTCTGTAAAGTGTACATCAGCATGGAAATTCATCTCCGAGACCCTCTTGGCTTTTTCTTGTCAATATCATTGTTTGAGAAACGCCTTGTTAAGCCTCCAAGGAGAGTCATAAATCAAAAATCGGTATTAGTCAATGGAAAATTTCTGTAGGGACTAGTAGCAGCAAAAAGGAGATTCATATTCTTTAGATATGTCAAGTTTGATAAATCTATGAATGCAGACATTTATAAACTTCTTAAAGAATATATGATCCTCTAAATATTTACCAACATAATTTTGAAGTATGAAGTTTAAGGATGTAAACTAGAAATGTATGTAAATAAGAGTGATACTTGGTAATAAATACTGAACTATTGAATAAATACATCTTGGTTTTGACATACATGTATATTTATGCTCATACCCCCCTCAGAGTCCATAATATATATTTACCTGTGCAATTCTATAATTTCCTTTTATATTAATACATTCTAGAAAGGTGACTATATAAAGTGAGCAAAAAAATTATATTTATCATAAAGTATATGTCCATAAATAGGACCAAATAGGAAGATGAAAATAAGCATAACTCATGGCTTTCCATTTTCTTCAAATTTTGTCCTGAATTTTATTTTTTGCTAGATCCATTTGTAGTCTTCAGTTTTCTCAATATAGTTAAAATAGTCCCTAAACAATTTGTAATGCCTCTGTCTTGTTTGCTTTTCAGTATGCTTTGCAATTGGTATTTTCTGTAAGGTCAGTTAACCTATTCATTCAAAGTTATCGTTCTGATTTTTTTTTTTTTTAGAAAACTTCTATTAAATTAAGCAGAATTCATTTTCAGCAAAGGAGGTGATGCTTTGTTCTATAAGGTAAAATAATAACTAGCTTAGTATGTGTGGGTGTTGAGGGTAGGGAGATTGCCAGAATGCCTTAGAACTCACTACCTGTCTCCTCTTTCACAACCATGTCAAAAACAATGCAACCCAGGGCTTTGAATACTGCTGCTGCTTTAAAAAAAAAAAAAAAAAAAAGCAAATGCTCTATGCTCAGCACTATTAAGCTGGCCACAACTGCTTCAGCATCAGTTCAATCCCTAGATCCCTAGCTAGGGAGGTGACCCACATGTGCAACAGACCTCTCCTGTCTGACCGCTGCCCCACTCAGCATGTACTTCTTTGATCCTTGCTGTGTCTCTGGTGAATCCTCTCACCACCCACACACCTCTCTGGCCTGTATCCCAGTTCTGTATGCATAAATAAATCTTTTTTATTTTAAAGCAAACCCAAATTAAGTTATACTTTATGCTATTTATTTTATACCTAGTATCTCTACTCCTTAAAAGAGAATTCCACAGCAAAAACTTACAAGTATGAGGAATTAGGCCATCATCACCCACAGAAATTGCACTAGGACATAAGATGTATCCTCTTTCCCAATTCCTTTCCTCCCTTCTTTGGCAAACTAATCAACTGAAGTACAGAATAAAGGTATTTTTTCAATGGTCAACAAATGATTGTATTAAGGTGTGATAGAGAAATAACATGATTTGTGTGTATTGACAGGAGCCTATGACTCAAAGATTGTTCCCCAAAACAGAAGAGTTGGCTCCAGCTGGAACCCTGAGAAATACAGATGACTGGGCTTCACTCCAGAGATTCTGGAGTAGAATCTTTGCAGCCAGACTGAGGACTAGGTGTGTTACTGTGTGTTTTAACACACTGAAATTCCATTTAACTGCAGGCACGATCCAGCTGCTAACTTTGCTATAACCTGAAGGAGCATTGTCAAAGACTGTGTAAGTACCTCTGGTGTTGGGCAGTATACAAGTTATTAAAATAAGGCAACATATCTAGAGAGGGAAAATTACTTGGTAGGAATCCCCATTAAGTCTTTATTTATACCTGAGAGCAGTGTGGCATCTGAGAAAGAGCTAAGTCGTGTGGCCACAGAGAAGTGACCATAGATAAATGTCTCACAAAGAGTGCAGGAAATGTGGCATAACAATATAATGCTATAAAAGTCCAGCCCAGGGTTAATAACATAGGATAGCTCAATGGGTAGTTATTATTAATATTTAGTAGGTACAGGAGCAGATAAAAGAACAACCTTCCCACTGTGGGATGATGAGTGAGTGAGGACCTAAATCATTCAGACACATGAAAGAAGATGAAAAACCTTCTTTACCTCCAATTTCTATACATTCCAAAACTAGAGTTAATATGTTTGGTAAGCAAACTTTAAAGAAAATTGCCTCTCAGGAGCTGGAAGAAGCAAGCAGAATGCTGGGCCATCACAGCACTTCATAAAATACTCCTACAAAAAGTAAATTTGCTCAATGGCTGGACACCTTGATATAACAGGGCAGCAATTTTATTGCTAAGTTGTCACAGTTTAGTAATGTAAGCAAATTAGAGAAAAGTGCCAAAGATCTTGGCATCTGTATTTAATTAAATTATTCAGGTTGATGATTCTTCTGCAAGTTGATTAATAGAGAACATGTGTGACCCCAGTTTCTAAGGTATGAATGTGCTTCATCATACAAACAGCTAAAAAGTAAGTTTTTTTTTTCTTAAAAAGAATGTTACATCTGAAAGAAAGAATTACTGAATCTAAATCTATCTTAACACTTCTAAGATAAGTGAATTAAGGATTTCAGAGCAAAGGTTCTGATTTTGTCAGTCAGAACTAAGTTCATTCCCAGCTCCATCACTTGCTAAATGTGGATCTTTCTGCAAGTTGCTTAGTCTTGAGAATCACTTTCCTTAACTGTTACAATGGGAGCAGTATTATTAGGTTCACAGTAGGATCATTTCAAGGATCATCCTTTCGTCTTTGGGAGTAACATACAGTTTGGGTGTAATAAGTGCTCAATAAATGTCAACTTTCATTATATTTGAGTTACACAAGAAATAAATGCTTTAAAGACACAAGCACTCCATTCCTACAAATTTGTCTTTTTTCATCTTTCTATTATATTGTTCTATCTCCAAAGATAACTCAACAAAGAAAAAATGATAACAAAAGGAGCTCTCTTCCAGGAATAGAATTACCGAAGTTTAATAGATTAGGTAACAATAAGTAATATGGAACTGATAAAACTGAAAACACAAGAAATTACCTTATTTCAAAAGTATTTTCCATTTCTATACAAATATTTTATACAATTTTCCTACAAATTCTCAGTATCACCACTGAACACAAATTATCATGAATTATTCCTTTTCTAATGTTCGGAGTCATATAATATGTTCATTTAGCTTTCTTATATTTTTAACACTTGAGGCAGAAACATAAATCAAAAATACCATAACTTATCTTCTGAGGATATTGAGTTGAATCATGCTACATGAATACTTATTTGGCCATATCCTTGTTATATTTCCATTTTTTTTTTTTAAGGAAAAGACAGACTAATGGTTTAGATTCTAAAAAAGGGTTTTTGTCAGCTTTAGAAGAATATGGTAAAAGGACTCCTCTTTAGGAAAATTGCAAAGGCAAAAACAGATTATCACTAACAGAAGCTAAATTACACAGGGAAGAAGAGCTACTAAGATATAATTGATTTTGCCAGGATAAAAATGAAACAGACCAAGCAATTATAATGAGAATCACTTTGGTACTAAAGAAGACCCTTTAACAATGGGTATGCATTCAAATTTTAGTGATCATTATAAGCTCATTTTTCCTTGCTCCTGTTCCCATGATAAAGGCCTTAAATTGCTCAGACCCACTTGCTAAAATTTTTTTCTTTGCTTTTTTAGACTAAGGAATCTCCCCATGTTACTAGAAGAATGCAGTGCGGAGCAGCTCGTGCAGGTGCAAAAAACAACAGTGAAGGCAAGCCTGGCCCATCAGAGCAACGACGAAGGAAAAGAACTCACCTGTGGGCACTGGCTCCAGGGTCCCCAATCAGACATGACACATTCACTGGGACAGAGCAGGGAGCAGGACTGGGCTTCCGGTGGAATTTCCTCCTGGTTGCAGAGCCTGTTATCCACGGTTCTACCTTCACTGTCCCCAGTGCTCACACATCTGCAAGGCAACATTGCAAGGCATCTTGGTTATTTGAAACAGTGAAGAGGACCTAAAAATAGATGTAATGAAACTTAGTTGCCTGCCCCTCTAAGACCATTCAATGTAAAGTAAGATGAAATGGGTATAAAAGGGTCCCTCCCTGGTGGCACAGTGTTTTGGTTAAAGCTCAGCACTGTGAAGCTGGCCGCCACTGGTTTGGTGCCAGTTCAATCCCCAACCCAGAAGTGACCCACACGGTGCAGCACCTCCCTTCAGCAATGCACTTCATCGATCTGCCTTTTCTTGCCTCCCACTCTGTCTGTGGTAAAACTTCTCACTGCCCCTGCACCTCTGGCCTGTACTCTAGTTCTATATCATAAATAAATAAATCTTAAAAAAAAAAAAAAGAAAAAATTCTCTTCAGCCAGTGGCTCTATGATATATTTCTAGTGATAACTAGAGCAGAATTTACTCACCAGAGAGGGAGAGAAAGTGACAAAAATGACACTAGAGACCAACTGTTGCCCCTAAATGTTTTTTTTTTCTTTTTCAGGTTTTTTTTCTTTTTTTTTTTATTTACATTTTATATATCTTCTCTTTTTTCTCTTTTGTACAATGTTTGCTTTCTCCTTTCAGGTAAAAATAAAAAATCCCCACCACCAATTCATCCCTGCACCATCACCATGGTCCTTTATGCTCATGTTTTGATCCCTTAAGAATTCTTAATCTAAAGAGACCTAAGATATATTTATTTATACTTGGCACAGAGTGAATTTTCTTCTTCTTAACAAATCTTGGAGGCTCTTCTCTTTACATGAATCCCTTCCTTTGTAATTGCTACAGACTTCACAGTCCCTGGCACTCTCTTAGACCTTTTCTCAAATCTGTCCCACATAATTTAAACTTCCCTAATCTTTGTCCAATATACTCAAGGTCATTGAATATATTTTTCTTTTAGGCATTTCTTGCATTTTAGTAAAAAAAAAAAAATTCTGTCACAAACCAAAGGGCAAAGATAGTGTTTTCATGTAGTGACTGAGCACATGGAATATACATACAGGTTATAATTGTAGGTCTCATTCTGTGTCAATCCTAAGATACATGTAATCAAGTTACTGAGTAAATCCAATTAAAATCAAGCATTATGCCACCAAGATCCACCATGGCTTACAGAAAAAACATAGACAACATTCAAGGGTTGCAAACAATGTGGAATCTTATGACTCTTTTTACTCTGCTGCTTGGAGCATTAGTCAGGAAACTAGTTCTAGAATGTACTAATTTAAAAAAAAAATGTACATACCATTTGACCCAAAAACTCCAGTTCCATGAACATACACACACACACACACACACACACAAAACATATAAAAGTGCACCCAAATAGCTGAAATATTCATAGCAGCATGAGCCTAATCAACCAAACTTGAAATAATCCAAATACCCATCAAGTAACAAATGTGAGTATTTGTTAATAATGATTCCTTTGCTAGGTATTTCTGAGGACTTACTGTATGACACCCTTATCTGGGTGCTCAGGTACAGAACTGAAAAAAAGACACACATGATCTCTATTGTCATAAATATTTTCTTTCAGTGACAATCACCAAGGGAAGGTGAAAATGGCAATGACAACAATGTAAGTGGTGCCATTTGTTGATCTGGTAATTTCAGACACAAGGTAATAACCAGGCAGTACACATTTAAAGAGGGGGTTGCTAGAATCCTATTGTGCTCCTCAAATCATGCTATTCTGATAGGTTTAAAATTACTTTCATACATTTTTTAAGTAACTATTATGAGTCATTAAGTAATGGAAACTACATGTTGTATCAACTAGATTAACAAAGAATGATGGACAGACTGGAAATGTAAGTAATGCCTCCTAATATAGACAGGCACAATGAAAGTTACCAAAGGCCTTTAATTTCTTCTGTAGTAATCATCCATATTAGGAGGGACCACAAGATGATTTAAATGTCTTACTGGTCAGAGTTAAAAGCTGGAAATTGCTTTCCAGCTTGCCTATACCCTCTCTCAGCTAATGATCTTTCATTATGCCACTGAAAAAGAATATTTAAGATCGCTGGTCAATGTGTCCAGTTAAACACATGCATTAATCTTTGTTTAATACTAATATGTCAGAAACATATATAAAAAGGTCTTGTTGGAAAAAGAAAGAAAGAAAGAAAAATGGGAAGGAACGGTATAATACAAAGACAAAGAATGGGGATGAAGACAGATGGAAAATGAATGGGCTAGTGGTTTAGTGGTTTCTGCTGTAGCACACTAAGGGTGAACAAATGTGTTCATTTGCATCACTGGACACCTAGGGATTCTGGGTATTTGTGGCATCAAGTACCTTTGAAAATGTGGATCAAGATGAGGTTAGGAATCCTGAACTTTTCTTTAAGGTAGTTGTAAGAGGTACTTGGACCTGGTCTTTAGGTTAAAGAAAACAAGACACACTTAGGGATGACATCATAGTGAAAACAAAGGTTAAGTAAGATTTACTTACTGAAAAAATTACCAACTTAATAATCTAATCAACACAAAGTTATCACCTTAAAATTCTGTCATGTAGGTCTCACAAAACCAACATCAATGTTTTGGGGGACTTGCATTCATATCTAGAAGCTCAAGAGGAAAACCCATTTCTTTTCTTGTTTGAGATTTCACAGGCCACTCACATTCCTTAAGCTATGGTGCCATTCACCATCTTCAAAGTCAGCATGGCTTCTCTCTGCCTCCTTTCTAAGGTTACATTTTCTCAAGTCTTCTTCCACATTTCAGAACTCTTATAAATAAATTCTTCCACCTAAAAATCTTCCCCCCTCAACATCTTTACTGGAAGTAACCACATGTGCAAATCACTTCACCATGTAAGGTCATTTTCATAGATTTCAGAGATTCAAATGTAGATATCTTTGGTGTCATCCTTCTGTTAACTGCATCCAACTACTTTCTTTGGATTACCAAAATACCCACTGCTAAGACTGTATTTTTCACACATGATTTAAGAAGAGACTTTTCTGGGGGTTCTGACAAACCTAAGAAGAAAGACTTGAAAAGGCTTAACTTGAAGGTTCCCCAGCTGCTACCGTGCACATACACTGACTCATCAAATTCACTTCCATGCCTCTTCAATCATTAGCATATTCCTACCTAACGTCACTGAACAACTGTGTTAAATAATTTTCTATATATGAAATTTCCTTCTCTTTTCTCCTTTCATTGTTACCCCTTTAACATACTTTAATCATATATATTTGTTATATTCCAGAGAAAACTCTTATAAAGATCTTCAGTACAAAATTCAATAGTCAATGATCATCTCAATAGACTTTTCAGACTTATTTGAGACAACTGACTGCTTTCTTAAAATAAAAGAATCTCCCCTGCTTATTTTCCCATTTTTTGACTCATCTCCCATTTCACTAGTTTCTTCTCAGTCTCACTAATAGGTACTTAACTATAAATCTTGGAGTTCCCCAGAACTCACTTTCTTCTCTCATATCAATATATACCAAATTTGTTAGTGCTGATGACCAAAATTACCCCCTCTACCTCTCTGACAATAATGTGTCAGTTAGACGGCAGATAGCATCTAACATTTAATGTGTTAACAAATTTAATTTTTTCCTTCAAACCTACTTCTAATATTACTCATCTCTCAATCATTCCATGATTGCTCGGGCCACAAAACATAGTCATCTTTGATATTTTTCTCTCCTTTTACATTCTATAATCATTTTATATACAATTCCTATGACTTGTAGTTTCCAAGTACATGTGACCATCTCACCACCTTTAATATCACTAAGGCAAATCTCATAATCAATCTCCCACATAATTCCACAGTGGCTTTCAAACATTCACTTTTATACTCCAAACACCTTCTCTACTTCCCATCCAGCTTGGTTCATTTCACATGTAAATAGGAACAGCTCCTTACCTCTGTGTCTCAAGCCTTACGTCTTTTTTTTTTTTTTTTTAATAAACTATATTATTTGAGTACTAGCATCAACCATATGAGATCTATTATTATTTGTGTTGTTTTATATAGCAAGTCAAAAAGCTTCCAGCTTTGGATACTTTCTTACTCCTAGAATTCTGTCTATTGATCTTACATATATTCAGTTCTCTATTCAAACATTGTGCTAACCAACCTCTTCAAAACAGTATGCTCCGCTACTTCAACCCAATTTTATTTTTATTTTGGGTTTTTCTAGCAATAAGTTCTTGTGTTAATTATGGGTTTAAGTTCTCTGTGAACAGAAACAATTTTCACTTTTTATTCTCAATTTCTAGAACAGTGTCTGATAAGTGAAGGCATCTATTGATAAGCATCTTTCTATTAGCAAATTATTCAAGGATAAACCATGAAGATGACCTCCTCTTACAGTGCAAAAAAAAAAAAAAAAAAAAAGAGAGAAAGATAAACTGCTTCACTGATTAATATAGCACTTTACAAAGGTCAATAAACATTTGAATTACAGGATACATGGAAAATCTACTTCACATATCTGAATGTGATCACACACATAGGCATATAGCACAGTGAGTATGTAGAACTTTGCTAAGGCTGCCACAACAAAAATACCACTGCCTAGGTGGCTTACCTTCCGCAAGTTACTTTTTTACAGTTCTAGAGGGGAGAAGTGTGAGAGCCAGGTGAAGGTAGGGTTGGCTTCTCCTGGGGTCTCTTTGGCACAGCTGGGTGCCCTGTCCCTTTGGCTATGCCCTAATCTCCTCTTCTAAGAATACCAACCAGACTGGGTCAGAGCCCACTCAAATGACCTCATGGAACAAAAAACAGCTTTTTAAAAGATTACCTCCAAATACAGTCACACTTCAAGGTACTGGAAACTTCAACACAGAATTGAGGAGATAATTCAATCCACAACAGAGTTATATTAAGAAGCTGTGTTAGTTTTGTCGTATCAGGTTCTGTAGGTTTAAGGGGATAGGCTTGTTCATGTGTATTTTTCTCAATTAGTCCTTTACAAAACTGCTGGTAAAAATTATTTTCTTTCAGCTTTCTTTTCTCTCCTGAGATTTTGCTTTAATACTGTCAGGAGACCTGGCTGGGATATGAGTTACACACAATATAGCTCATTTACATATTACTTGACAAGCTGGTTGCTTAGTCATTTCTCAAATCCATGAAAAAATAAAACAAAAGAGATTGAGATTTTGAAGAAAAAGAAGTAGGAACCTGAAGTTTGTGACATCTGAGCAAACTGCTCCCCAGGGACAAAGGCAATGAACAGAGAAAGAAAGAATGTCTTTTTTTTAAAGATTTTATTTAGTTATTTTTGTGTAGAAGATCTGGAGTATAGATTGGAGTTGCAGTGGGTGAAAGGATGCACCAGGGACAGAGTGGCGAATCAAAACAGCTTGGTTTATTAAAATACACTGCTGAGGGGAGCAGCGGGCAAGACGAAAGAGAGACCTGCTGTGCCATGTTGATTAGCTTTCTGGCTGGGGATTGAACCCATGCCTTCATGGTGGACTGTCATGATGGTAGCACTAACGTGCAGCCCCTAGGTCACCACATAGGCCCCTATTATCTGTGTGGATTAACGATGAAGAGAACCTCTTTACTTTTGACCACACTTAATTCTTCTAACATGACTGTCTGTGACTCTACAACATTTGGATTAGGCCTCAGCAGGGGCAGGTATAGCTAAGTAACTATGTAAATAAGTTCACTGTTGTTGATTTGCAATGAAAACAAGCAACTGACTTCAGACCCATAGAAGAATTCAACAAGGAGTTACCTTATCTGGCCACTATCCATTTGAAACAGAACTTCCTAAATCTGGCAAAATCACATGCAATTGAATAGCTGACTGCAATATATTTTCTCCTTTATTTTACATACTAACAGTTGTTTATCAGTAACAGTTTAGCTTTTCCTCAATCTGTATTTATGAAACTAAAACAAATGGCATCAGTAAATAACCCAGTATTCATAAATACTTTCAGAGACATGTTTTTTTTATTCAATTATATTGCTGTTATTTCATAGCTATTCTCATACTATAGTTTCCAAGGATCATAGTGGGAGCTTAAATTGACCATGTCGATGTATTGACCTCCAAAATTAATAAGTTATCTATCAACTCTACTGACCACAGCGGGAAAGAGAGACATGGAAATGGTCAAAACTTGCTTATTTGTGGGCAGTGATGACCTGGATTAGCAGAACAATGCCAGGTTGTATCTGGCATTGACTTTCCCACAGAAGCCACATGCAGAAAATGAGTAGGACCATGGATGCACTGCAGACAGAATGTCACTAGAGATACAGCAGATAAGGGCACAGATGCTTCCATAGTACATTAAAAGATGGATAAAACAAGAGAAGCAAAAGCAAGCACATGGATCGAAAATCAGGTGTACTTGGAGAAGCAACACTATTGAATTCATAAAAATTGAATTCATGTTCCTCTGCCCCGTTTCCTAAACATCTCCATTCTACACACCTGATTTTCCTAGATTGCGTTCCTCCTCCACAACGCAGGGACCGCAGCTCACTGTGGATTTTGCAGGGAGACCAGTGTTCCGCCACCCAGGAGTAGCGATTGCACTCACTGTAACACGGGACTGCCTCATGCACCTGTCAAGAATAGGAAAGGAAAAATATTATGTGGAACTACCCAAGTTATTGAAAAATAACCTATCTTTTAGTAATGACTACTGAGCATAACCAGAGAACTACACTCAGGCCCACACAGTCAAATTGCATTCCTCAAGAAGCAGGATACATTTGGCTTCTCTGATATTACTGACTTGCCTAGAGAAACATATAGGAGAAATCAACTGAAATATGATGGTGTGCCTTGGCAGAAGAGAAAAAAAGTATAGTCATTACCAACCATGGAGAATAGGGATTCCATTATCATTTCATTTCCTCAAAGAGCTCACACAGCGTCTGTTAGAGTCCAGCTCTCAATTATATGGTATATTGTATTCTCAGAAGTACTTTAAGATGTCAATTGAAACAAATATATGTAAGAAAAATTTACTCTTGAATATAAGAGGTTCTTAGCATGCATGAGAAAAGTGGTATTATTTGCACTTGAAATTTCTTTTTATACCCCAAAATGATCAATGCTAACAGCTAATCGTTTAGCCTCCTGGGCATTGTGGTTTCATATGAATTTAGTTATTTATACAATGTTTTTAGAGCACAGCTAAAACACATAAACACTCTCCTATCCCACAACACAAACATACTTAATGCTGGCTATGCATGATTACCGATTGGATATATACAATTTTATGGTAAAAAACAATGAATATAGTCAGTGAATTAGGTTATTTTATAAGTATGTGTTTCTGACTTTTTTTGCTTTGAAACTGCATTCTAATTGAGTGTGTCTGACACTGAGGCTGAACTTAAAATGAACTACTCTTCAATATAGCACTTCCCCTTCACAAGAAAAAAAATGTTCCATTGTGTAACATATTAATGTAAATCACAAAATTGGCTACTATATAGCATGGTGATGAAAACTAGTTTAACCTATTAGCAAAAACAATTAATGCCTTTCCTTTTAAAGAAGAATTTAAGCCTGTGTCATAACTAACCCCCTCCACCCCTTTTTTAATTCCATAAATTTGTAAATGTTGATGAAGGAAGAGTACAATCCAAAGAGAAGCATTACTTGTATATTTCTACTAAACGCAAGGGAAAGCACCATGTAGAGAGATAATCAGAAAACAAGATTGGAGCACTGTCAGCATGTTAGATGGAAATCAAATGAGAAAAGGTTATTTGTGAGACTACATCTCAGGAATCATAAATAATGTCAAAAACTATTGTGGGGTGGAACAAGTGGAGCCCATAAGGAGAAAGGAAACCACAAAGTGAAAAATATGTGTGGGCTCAATGGAAGGAGATGGAAAAATAGAAGCGGATATGGGTATGAGGAAAGTAAGGAATTAAGGAATAAAAGAATCACATTTCATGCTGTGAATACTGACAAGAAATGAATCGAAGGGTCAGAAGCAGTTCCTACATTAAAACAAGGCAGTGATAACTTGTAAGAGCGAAAATTCCGCCCTCAAAACTCGAAGGATAGTGAGGTAAAAGAAAAATTTATGAAAACAGACGTAACTCCTGCTCAACAGACATCTGGAAATTGAGTTGATGACAGCTGAGGGTGTAACTGACTCAAATGCACCATGGAAAGAGAGCTTTTACAGAATTTATCGCTTTGTTTTATAAATTCTTTAACACATATCAGACCACTAAAAGGAAGCTTTTTGACTTTCAGATGGGATACATGAAAACTATGCCAATGCACTTTGCACAAATGGGTTGGCTGAAAAATTTCAGTGAAAAAATATTCTTTCCTACACCTCATGCATGAATCTGAGAGCAAGTGGATGGTATATCCTGGGATAGAAATGTTTTTCCTAAAGTTCATAATAGTAAGAAGGACTTACATTTCCACCCTCCCAACCCTATGAATCCCTAACTGCAGATGAAAAATGAAGATCTGTTTAGCTGTATTTGCTTTTGATATACACATATGAATGCTGACATATACGAGCCTGCTATTTAGGTCTTTATGCTTCAGGGCTCCACACCAGTAGCATGGTAGCTGACTTCAATGACAAACTATTACAAATTAGAGAGCAGGTCTATGTAGAAGATGTTGACCTAACTTGGCTAATGAGCAAAAAAACGTGAAGCTAGTTCCACTACACGGACTTACTTGACTTTATCCCCCCAGACCTCTCTGCCATCTTAACATTACCTGTATTGTCACTGGAAGCTGACAAATCCCCACCACTTCAAAGCCCAAATAAATGTCTACACACATCTGCAAGACTCTTTCCATGACTTCAGTGGGCATGTCATTGGCTGTGACTGACAGTCTGCTTAAAGGAAATTTGGGGCCAGATTGTAAAAGCAGGCTATATATTGCATAAATAGGGGCAGTGGTGGTGGCTGGGGTACATAGTGTGACAGGGCAGCACACATGGTGGTGACAGTCACCGTGTCACATATTTCTACATGTGTTTCCTATGTACACAAAATACTTCCACACTTTTTCTCACCATAATCTTAATAAATATGTCCAGCTTTTACCTTAAATAACACTGAGAATAAGCACTGAGAAATGCAGTTTTTACTTTCCATGTTTAAAAATGTTCTTGTTCTAAGCAAATTCACATCTGGACTAATGATATTTATTTATGTGTTTCTTGGGGGAAAAAAATGTAGCATAACCTCTGAGTCTCAGGAGGCAGGCAGGCAGGTGTGTCGCTGAAGCCAGAGTGGAGGAGGGTAGTCTCAATGGATGTTTGTTGACTTGCAGCTAACACTTAAAGAGCTCACATTGCTAAGTGGTCCTCACTTAATTCTCTAGAGGAAAACAAAGCCCACCAAATGGAACAGGTCAGGGAGACTTTACCAAACTCAAGGATATTAATAGAGCAAAATGAAAATCTTTTCTTTGCATTATGGAGCTTTGATGAAGAATATCAATCTTTATGTCAGCAAAAGGTGCTCTTTGGGGACTTTACTATGGGAAACAAAGGCTGTCCCTGAAGATTTGTGAGAACTGTCTCTGTAGAGTCTTGTTCCACCAAACAAGGGCTCTCTCTTAGAAGACCAAAAACATCCAAAAGAGGAAAAGGCAGCAGGCACTCAAGAATAGAAATTACCTACCCAAATGCCCCATTTCTTCCCCTGTCAGTTACTTTATATTCTATTCCATATTGTTATTTAGTTGCATCCTATTATAGTTTTATAATGAAAATGTGTTAATGCATAGAGTTTATCAGGGAATCATATGGAAATGTAGTAAAGGAGAGAAATGAGCCATGGGAAAGTTAAATGAAAATCATTTCTAAATGGCCCAAATTAGCAAGAAAATAACAGGGTTTAATAGGGACACAGGGGCTAAAAATTGCAACTGAAAAATTTCAGTCCTCTGACAGAGGTAATGTTTCATTTTCCTAGTAATGAGTGCTATTTATTACTTCTTCATTGGGGAATTATGTTTGATAATTTTGCTGTTCTACAGTCATATCATAAACTTATTCATTGAATCAGTCTCAGTGCTTATTAAATAAGTCTCTAGTCATAATTGATCAATTTAATTAAGTACTGTTATTTTTTTTGTTGTTACTCCTCTCTGGTTACAGACTGGATTCTATGGCATAAACAGGGAATTTCAATGGGGCTCAGCCAATACCACTGTCACATGTCAGGATCTAAATGTTCAAAGGATCCAGTAAAGCAAATCACCCATCAACAAACACAGTGAAAACAAAAACAGAAAGTAAAATACATGGCCTCCAATTTTCTGTAGCATTAGCCCTTTGGTCCAGGGGAAGTTGCCAGTAAAGACCTGGTAGAAACCTTCTGCTTAAGATCGTTATACCTGGTGTTGTGGCTCTAAAGTAGAATTAAAAAAATCAGGTTCAATTCCTTCTATAACTACAGAGTCCTCTAAGTCAGAGCTAGAGTTTGGCCCTTTGGAATATGAAAGGAAATGATCTCTAGGACTCATGAAATTAATAAACCATATGGATGTTGTTTTCCTCTAAAGACTGTGAACATTTTTTTTTAATTTATTTATTCCAACAGAACTGGGGTACAGGCTAGAGATCCGGAGGGTGAGAGGATTCACCAGGGACAGAGTGGGGAGCAGAACAGGCAGATGGATGAAGTACACTGCTGAGGGGAACAGCGGGCGGGTCAGGAGAGGTCTGCCTAGCCATGTGGATCTCCTCCCCGGGCAGGCGGGGATCGAACCCATGCAGAAGTGGCTTAAACTTCTTTGTGCTGTGCTTTAACCCGCTGTGCCACCAGGGAGGGCCAGTTGTGAACTCTTAACAAAAGAGTAATACATTTGCCTATTAAGTCTAGGATCCTTCATCCCTTGATTTAAAGTACTTCCCTCTTGGGCCCTCCCTGGTGGCACAGTGGGTTAAAGCACAGCACTAAGAAGCTAAAGCCACTTCAGCCAGAGTTCCATCCCTGCCCTGGAGGTGACCCACATGGCATTGCATGTGGGTCACCCGAGTGCTGCGCCCATCAGCAGTTGGCCTGTTCTGCTCCCCACTCTGTCTTTGGTGAATCCTCTCGCCACCCCTGTACCTCTGGCCTATATCCCAGTTCTGGTGATGTCAACAGTGCATGGGCCTGCCTATTCAACTTCTTACAGCACAGAATCCTGCTGCAAGGTATAGTCTGTTTCTTTTCAGTGAAGACAATGCTAAACATTTGGAAACAGGAAAATCCATAAACAGAATTGTCCAACATGTCCATGTATAATAGATGATGTCTACTAATTTTAATATAAAAATATAGCATAGGTAATTCATCCCCAGTCTTTGAATAGAGTATCCTTTCACAATTTCAAAAATGTATCAGACAAGCATCTCAGAATGTTAACTCCCATATCTAAAGCAAAAACAGGTCTGTGTGTTTTGTATGGTTGCAATTTTGTGAGAGATGATTAGCTAAAATAACATCCACAATGTTTTTAAATGGGTATCTGTGGGAATATAATTATGCCTGTCACGTTGTGCCATGCATTGTTTAAATAAGAGTGCAGCATTCAGAGTCAGCATATTTTGGAAATCTGGAGTTCA